CCTTCGTGTATCTTAGGCACGCACGCACACCGGCAGGCATAAGTTTAAGCCACTGGGTCCAGGACTCGAACCGCAGTTGGCTACATGGGAGTTCAACTACATAGCCATTATGCTAACTGCTGGTCCCTCTTTTTTTTTTTTTTCAGAGAGATTTTTGCTATAGGGCATGTGCCCTTGCCAGAAAGACAGGGACAGAGAGACAGAAAACAAGAAATCACCCCCCAGGAGTGATGGCCACGCCGCAATCCCTTCTCTTCCATTCTCCTCTCAGGTTCTTGTGCATGCATGCACACGTGCCCAGCGTGAGTTTAAGCCACTGGATCCAAGACTCGAACTGTGATCGACTACATGGGAGTCCAGCTACATAGCCATTACGACAACTGCTGGTCCCTTAAAAGATTTATAAAAGTGCAAATAATTTTCCAATTAGGTAATACATTCACATGGCTCAAAGGCCACACAGCTCTCCTCTCTGCAGGTAACTAGTTAGTACTTGTTATATTCAAGAGGAAAAAGAGGAAGAAAAGAAAGACATAACACTCAAGCAATAGAAAAAAAAAAAAACTTTAGCATAAATTCTTTACAAGCACATTCTTCTCAAATGTACATGGGATGTTTGCCAAGACAGACTGTATTTGGGGCCACCAGATCCGAGACGTGAACCGCGGTTGACTACATAGGAGTCCAGTGACATAGCCATTACGCTAACTGCTGGTCCCTTACCTGGTGTGATTTTCAAGCCACCAGATCCAGGACTCGAACCATGGTCAGCCATGTGGGAATTCAGTGCCTTAACCTCCACACTACCTGCTGGCCCCATCCCATAAATTTTAAAATATCCAAATTATACAATTGTATAAAAGAAAACCTCAAATATAAATCTAACCTTCTGATCTAAAGGTCCTAGAAAAGGAGTAATATGTATCCAAATCAAATAGAAGAAAAAAGACAGAGAATTCAGTAAAACAGAAAAAGAATGAAAAAAAAAAGTAATTTTTTTTTTATATTAAAAAAAAATACCCAGGTGCTGTGAAGAGAGAGGTAGATCCCACAAGGCCAACAGATATTTGAATCTCAGCCCTGTCAGCTTGAAAAATATGCCAGGCATGCACAGAAAAGGACTGCAGTGTGATTGGCCCTCTTAGGGAGTGCTTTCTCTCTCTCTCTGTCTCATGAGTGCACATGTACTCTCTGCCATTAAAAAAAAAGATAAATCTCTAGACAGCTTATTCAGGAAGGAAAAAAAAAAAAGAGAGAAGACATAAATTGCATGAGAGTTAAGACCTCACTACAAGTCAGAGAGGAATAATATTGCCATGATTGATATAGACTATTTTTCACTCTAGCAAATGGGTATATTTTCCCTCCGGAAAAAATGGAATTCTCTCAACAAGGAAGAAGGGATAAAACTGTATTTAGATCAGCAAGTAACACTGCTGTCTTCATTAGTGACATAGAATAAATTAATTCGGGCAACTACTTTCATTTCTCCCCAGGATGATAGTAATAGGTTAATTACTGTAAGGAACATGGGATTTCTGGGATAATGGAAGCAAGTAGACAAGAACTGATACAGTGAAGAAGGCAGATAAAGTGGGGGTATACTAGAAAAAATATATCATGATGGTAAGTTAAAGAGATACTGAAATTCCTAGTATAATTACCACTGTTTTGTCTAGAGTTCACCCTGATTTTAAACATTTTAAAACAAAAAACAGCAAAGTGGAATGGAACAGTTTTAATGAAAAACTGATATGAAATCTAGGCTTATAGAGAATTATGCATTTTATTAGTTTATCTCATTTTACTTATTAGTGCACACCAGGATTCTTATACTCTGTCCTTTAAAATGGTAAAAATGAATCTGTTTTACACTGAAAAATCTCGGTAACATTATATACACCTTTATTTTATTTGCTAGAGAGTATGTACCAGAGGGAAACAGAGAAAGAAAGGGAGAAAGTATCCTCCCATACGGTATGGTCAGGTTGTAATCCTTTTTCCTCCATTTCTCCCTCATTTTGGGATTTGGGGGCATGCACACACATATACCTGGAATATTTCTTGAATATGACTTGAACTGTGAGGTCGGTCATGTGGGATCCAACTGCTTTAACCACCAGACCATGGGCTGGCCCCAGAGTCCCTTCTGTATCATTTCCTTACCTTTTCAGATATTACGCTAGACTAGTAATGAAACCTTATCAGTTTATTTAATTTAAAGATAGTTCCCTTGAAAATCTTGTTACCATCAGACCAGTAAATTTAAAATGATCTAATTGTCTCTAAAACTGTGTAAATGACTCTTCTAAGATAGTAAAACCAAATTTAAGCCTATTTCCATATTCCTTCCAAATTGGCTCAATTATTTTATGAGTTCAATTAGGTTTCCTTTACTTCAGGACATCCTTCCTTGTGCTCCCAATATTACTGGATTAGGAATCAAAATATACAAATTCTATCTATACTCAGAAATTGAGCATATCATTGGTCTTTTTAGCATTCAAAATACTGGTTTAAAGATGGCAAGAATATCATCTGTTTGTACAAAATGACATAGTTGGGCCCTGTTTAACTTATTCTCAAGAGGTTCCAAAATAGTGAAGAAGCCTTTGGGAGACCCTGTCTTCAAGTATCTGAAGATAAATTTCATATTTGGCTCCCACAGAAAAGTCTGAGATGGATCTAGGGAAAGTGTGGGAAGGTCTGGATGGAAACACATAGGGTATGGCTGGAAGAGGGCCATAGCAACATCCCATATTTGCCTCCTATATTTCTGTGCCCGTACTTGATTTCTTTTCCTTCACTTGTTCTCTCCTCTCACAGGTCTTTAGTCACCAGTGTGGGATTAACATTCTGAATTTGGCTCAAAGTACTATCAGCAGATCATGAGAGGCTAAGTGAAACAAAGAGTTTCCCTAACAATGCCAAAGAATATGAATTTCTGCCTCCCAGTGGAATGGGACTAAGTGATCAATTCTTATTTATTTTAAGAATTATTATTATTATTTTTAAACTTGCTATAAGGCACATGTGCTCACTAGAGAGAGAGAGAAAGACAAGGAAATGAGAAAGCAAGCCACCAGGTCCAGGACTCAAAGCACAGTCAGCCATGTGGGAGTCTAGTGCTTTAATCATCTTACCACCTACTTGCTCTGAGTGATCAAGTCTTAAATACTTCAGACACTGGGAAGTTCTTGTAATCACTATCCTCATTACAAATGTCTATATGCTACCTTCTTTCATGGACTCTGAAATTCAGAGATTTCCTATGTAGTCTTTATAACGTATCCTTGTATGAAGGGGCACTACCTGCTTCTTTTGTCTCCAATAATTTCCACAGAAAACAAATTAAATGACAACACTTGGCAATGAAAAATACTTTCTAAAAAGGAACTGCTAGACTTAGGCCTCAACTCTGGATATGATTAACTCAGTTTCTAAAATGCAGCTACAACTTGGGGATGGAGTGGAGTGGAGCATGTAGTGCACAGAGTGGGATGAAGTCTTAAAATGATGCATGCAAACATGAAAAGAAATACTACCACTGCAGAGCTCTTTGAAGATTCCAATTATGCAGTTTTAACTAAACCACCTGCTTTAGAATCAAACAAAATGTTATCTAGTAAAGCAAATTCCCTGGCCTTGTGGAGACCCATGAACCTCAAGACCTATACATTTTTGAAATGAACTTTCTAATTTTGGAATAACTTTTTATTTACCACAAAGTTGCAAAGATAATGCAGAACTTTCCCTATACTCCTCATGCCATTTTCTCCTAATGTTAGCATCTTACACTAGAATGGCACATTTGTAAAAAAAAAAAAAAAAAAAAAAAAGAAGAATGGCACATTTGTTATAATTAATAATTAAAGAAGCAATACTGGCCCCTTACTATTATCTAAATACTATGTTATATTTGGATTACACTAGTTTTCCCACTAATGTCTTTTTGTTCTGGAGTATAATCAACATTTCATTTAATTGTCATGTCTCTTTAGTCTCCTATAGTCTGTGACAGTTTCTCAGTCTTCTTTTTCTTCCTCATGATCTTGACAGCTTGAGGAGTAGTAGTCAGACATTTTGTAGAATGTTGTTCAATTCTCATTTCCCTGGGATTTGGATTACACTAGTTTTCCCACTAATGTCTTTTTGTTCTGGAGTATAATCAACATTTCATTTAATTGTCATGTCTCTTTAGTCTCCTATAGTCTGTGACAGTTTCTCAGTCTTCTTTTTCTTCCTCATGATCTTGACAGCTTGAGGAGTAGTAGTCAGACATTTTGTAGAATGTTGTTCAATTCTCATTTCCCTGGGAAGGTCTCAATTTATATAGGGGTATGCACTTTTTTTAAAAAAATTGGGTCATAATCAAATACTACATTATTTATTTTGTTGCTCAAATTGTTTTACTTGGATCATTGAGAGATCTTTCAGGTTGGCTCTTGTGTCCCTTTGACATACTCCCATTCCTTAGGTTTTTCTAGCACTTCCTTACTTTCTGATACTATAATATGTTCCAGCTCATCTTTTATTCTTCATTCCCAGCCCCAAATCAGCCATTTCTCCAGAGAGTCCTGGTTTCCTTTTTTATAGAATGGTAGTAGAAACCCAGATCTAGGCACTGTGTGTGACTATGCAGTTTCTATAAAAACCCAAATGATTCCTATATACTTGGAGTTTGAGGGCAATCATTTTAGAAAGTAAAGAAAACTAAACTGGAAATATATTATGAAGAAAAGTTTTGAAATAACTGTTTTACAGAATTACTACTAGTTTCTTCATGTTAGCACAAGATTGAACATTCCAAAATACAGATGACCCTTATGGTCCAACTGGGAGAAGAGAGAAAAAGTGGTACAGATCATTCAATGACCCCTAAATAAAATGCTTAAAATTAAGCACCTAAAAACTACAATAAAACATATTTATTGAAAGTTTTCTCTGCCAAGCATTATGCTAAGTGCACGGCCTCAAAGCTAATGTGGTAGGTACAATTTCCCCCTTTTATAAGATATATAAATTGAGGTCTATAAATGTGAAATGTTTGCACAAAGCAATACAGTCAGTAGGTGGCAGAGCTGAGACACCAATTCAGGTCCATATGATTCTCAAAGCAGAGAATTTTGGTATGCCTTCCAATAACTACTGTTTTCACCCTCAGTTTTACTGAGATATAAGCTGACAAAAATTATGGATATTTATGGTGTACAATGTGCTCATATGAGCCTTTGAGTATATGTTTCTACCAGATCTTAAATGCCACAAGGGAAAGGCAGCTTATTCACTGTTGCACATCCTTTGTCTTTTACATAGTAGGTATTAAGTATATTAATGTATGAATAAATCTGACCAAATTTCTACATGGTGAAAATGAGGAACATGAAGTATGATACATTTTCTCCCATTGTATTATTAAGCTTGTGTTTCAAATAAGGTAAAGCATTGTAAATATACATTCTACTGAAAGCAGACATATTTTCACACAGGCCACATTTAGAGATGATGAAGAAATGTATGAATATATTTTGAGTAATAAATTTTAGGAAACAAAGAGAGCTAATAAGTAGTCTTAAAGCAGAAAGCAAATCTCAAAAGTTAATCATTTTGTTCATTGCTGAGATTGAAGATTGTGTTGTGCAGTGCTAGATCCTTCTAAATATCTAACAAACACTATTCTGAAATAGTTGTTTTGAAATAGATCAAGAATGAGAATTCCAATTTGATTAAACCAAAAGGCCAAAGGTCTTTGGCATACCTAATTTTAAATAGTATGGTTTTAATGGTATAAGCAAACTCTAATGACAGACTTTAAACCATAAAGAAGAAAACAAATGTACCAACAGCATAATATAAAACCATTTTAAAGTCCACTTCTATCAGTCAACTTTTGAACAAGTTTTGAATCACTTTTTTCCTATGGTATATTGCAATACTCCAGTCCATTCATTCATTCATCAACTATTCGTTTAGCCCCTATTACATGCCAGCCCTACTTCACATACTAGGGGCAATATCTTTGAACACAACTGATGAGAAATGCTACTGTCATAGAGGTAACAGTTCTGGGGGCAGAGCAATAGCTGACAAATACAACAAATAGATGTCAGATAGTAATTAAGTGCTGAGAAGAAAAATAATTCATGGGAGGGTCAAGAGGTTGAGTTTTAAGGTAGGATACAAAAGAAAGTGAAGTTGGGACCAGCAGTTAGCGTAGTGGCTATGTCGCTGGGCTCCCATGTAGTTGACCGTGGTTTGAGTCTCGGGCCTGGTGGCTTAAACTCACGCCGGGAGCGTGTGTATGTGTGCCCAAGATCCCGAGAGGAGAATGGAGGAAAAGGGACTGCAGCGTGTCCATCTCCCCTGGGGGGTGATTTCTCACTTTCTATGTCTCTCTCTGTCTTTCTGGTGAGCACATGTGCCCTATCAAAAAAAACTCTCAAAAAAAAAAAAAAAAGTAAACTCGAGGGGAAAAAAAGAAAAAAGAAAAGAAAGTGAACTTGAGAAAAGACCTGAGAGTGTAATGAGGCTCAGACATATCCATCTGGAAGGAAAAAGAGCAAGTGCTAAAGCCATGAGGTGGGACATGTGCTCTGTGTGTATGTGTGTGTGTGTGTGTGTATGAGAGAGAAGGCACGAGACAGCCATAGCAAAGTGAATAGGGGGTGAAGTGTCATAGGAGATATGATAAAGAAATAAATGTAGCGGGACCAGAGGTGTAGGGTGGAGATGTAAGGGAACTGATTGTGTAGTGCTTTGTGGGTGATTCTGAGCACTTTGAATTTTACTAAGGGAGATAAGAAACCATTACAGAGAAGAAACTGTAAAGGATCACTCTAGTTTGCTGTTTTGAGAATCAATTTTGGGAAGCAGGCCAAGAAATAATGCAGATAAGAGAGTAGTGGTAGCTTGGATGTAAAGAGGTTACAAGTAGACAGGCTGAAAGGTGGCTAGATTCTGAATATATTTTCATATTAGAAACAACAATTGGTAGATGAGGTGTAGGATATGAAAAAGAGAAGAGTTAGGGAAGGCAACAAGGTTTAAGGATCAGCAAACAAAGGGACAGATGGAGTTACTATTTACTGAAATCAGAAAGATTCGTAAGAACAGATTTTTTGGAAGGGAGTACAAATTTGTCCTTCAGAACTGTATTAGATTCCGAGGGAAGATATTGAGTAAGTTGTTAGTCATGCAAGTATGCAGTTCAGGGTAGCACTCCATGATGATGCCATTAGCATTTCAAGCCAAGAGAATAGTAAAGTTTGCCAGGCGAGTGAGCATAGACAGAACACAGAAGAGTTCTAGGAAATCAGGTGATTGCTGCATTTGGGTGTTGTGTTATGAGAATTTTTCTTTTTAATAAGAAGCATATAGGCTAATGATAATGAGTCTATGGAGAAGAAAAGGTGATGCTGGAGAGCACAGAAAATTTCTCAAGCAATTTTCTCGTAATTTAAGGAATTTCTTCTTTTTATCTTATTTATTTATTTTTAGAGAGCGTTTTTGTTTTATGGTGCATGTGCTCAGCAGAGACAGAGAAATAGTGAGATATAACACTCCCCCCATAGGATGGCCATGCTGCAATCCCTTCTCCTCTACTCTCCTCTCAGGATTTTGAGTCATGCACACATGCCTGATGTGAGTTTTTTTTTTTTTTTTTGGCGCAGTCTTTC